TATAATGTTTATATAGCAGCAACAACTAATTACAAAGTATAATTTTATAAGATTTATATAATAATAGCAAAAAAATTGAAGTATGTGTCTCTTCGGTTTAACTTAGAAAATTCAATAACTTTGTAAACAAAATAATTAAAATTTATTTAACATATCAGCCATATGTTATTTTAAAAGATAAAACTGATATGAATTTATGTATAAAGACATAAATTCTTCCCAAAGTAATCTCTAAGTCCAGTGTAATTCCAATTTGACTATCAACGGCCTTTTTCATGACTATACATAGTAAATTGTAAAATTCACATCAGAAGATAAAGAACAATAAGTAACTGAGAAAAGTTTGGGGAGAGGACTGGTACTACCATTTGTCAAGACTTATAAAGATGTCTTTAAACGAGTATTTCCAAATAAGCAAGTTTAATAATGAAATAATTATTATCCAGATTATTATCAGTATATATAAAGAACTCAATGCAAAAAGAGAAAAAGAACCCAATAGTATTTCATTCCACTTTATTACAAAATGTTACCCAAATTCATTCAAGAAACTATAGATATATTACCAGATGAAGGAAGGAAGGAGAGAAAGAAAAAGAAACATGAGCAGCAAAATATTCACAAAGAAAGAAATCAAAAGACCAATAAATATATGAAATGCTTAACCTCAGCAAGCAACACAATGAAAACTAAAATAAGACTGAATACAATTTCATGTGCATGAGATTAGCAAAACTTTTAAGTCTCATGGCAACAAAAAGATATGGAGAAATAGACAACATTTTACTTTGCTTATAGGACTATAAAATAGTACAGCCACTTTGGAGAGCAATTTAGCAGCTAAAAATGCACATAGAATTTCTGTACTCAAAAGGAGAGAAGAAGAAGGAAACTGGAACTATATTTTGAGGAAACAATGGCTAAAAATTTTCTAGAACATATTAAAGAAATGAGTCTATAATAACATATGCCAATACAATAAGAAAATATAGATTTACAAGTAAATTATTTTGCCTGATATACTTAATAACATATGTTTAGAAAATATCTTAATTATGTTAAAGCATTTTGTTGTTGTTTGACAGACAGACAGCGTGTGTGGGGGAGGGGCAGAGAGACAGAGGGGGAGAGAGAATCCCAAGCAGGCTCCACACTGTCAGCACAGCATGGATCCTCACTTGGGGCTCAAACTCATGAAACTGTGAGATCATGACCTGAGCTGAAGCCAAGAGTTGGATGTTTAACTGACTGAGCCACCCAGGCGCCCTTGTTAAAGTGTTTTTTAAAATTCTCTTCCAATTTTGAAATGATTTATCTCTAGAATAATACATGTGATATTAGGCAATCTTACTATCTAATTTTACAATATTATTTGTGAAGAAATGATACGACCCAAACTAATTTATTTTCCTTTTCAGTCAGCAATATTTCAGAATACTCAGTTTTTCTTAGGTTTATTCCCTTAAAAGCAAGAAGGTTCTTTCACCTCATTTCACTACATGTTTCACAATCACGCTACAGTAATTAAAACAGTGTCCATTTAATGTGAAGACTCTGTATCTGCAAGGTATTTCCAGTCACAATGTCAACCCATTTGATTCCTACCTGAGCAAAGAATATTTAAAGAAAGCTTTTATGAAAACCATCTGTCCTTATCATTTAGTACATAATTCAAAAGACAAAACTTTTAGCAGAAGATAAATATTAAACAGTGATACTAAAATCATCATTCAAACAACAGCACTAGTATTGTCAAATATGTTACTGAGTGACCATATAAAAATTATATAAATGAGATTTAGTAATAAGAGAACATTGAAAATATATAATGCCACTATTCTTTGTGAATGTTTATTTAACTGGTAATTAACTCAGCTTATTGATAACTTTCATATTTGAAAAATTTAATGGTTAAAAAAACCCTACTATAATGCTCATTTGATTTGCTATTGATACTTCTTTTTCACCAACACTGAAATATTGGATAATTCTGGCTGCTTTATTCCCTCCTCACATTTTGATAGGATGTGGGAAACATCTGCATATGACTCCATTTAAGGGAGACAATGCCAGTGATAGATCTATCATCATCAATATGAGCTCCGGCTTATGGTGCTTTCTAACTCTGATACAGAAAATCAGAAAATCCTTCCTTGAGAAAACCTTTGAATTAGTTAATCTTTTTTAATTACTTAATCTTAAGTAATTGGTTTGTATTAATTAACTAGTCAATATCTTTTCTATTTCATTTCTTTGTCTTTACAAAAATATATATATTACAATATTCTGTAGTATATGTTGAGACCTTAAGACTGCAGGGCATTATCCTTAAAAGGAGTGAACAAAAGTATACCTTCACTATTTTACTTTTAATATATGGTGTTTGAGGGGCTCCTGGGTGGCTCAGTTGGTTAACTGTCCGACTTCAGCTCAGGTCATGATCTCATGGTTTGTGGGTTCAAGCCCCACGTCGGGCTCTGTGCTGACAGCTAGCTCAGAGCCTGGAGCCTGCTTCAGATTCTGTGCCTCCCTCTCTCTCTGACCCTCCCTTGCTCACACTGTCTCTCTCTCAGAAATAAATAAAAACCATTTAAAAATTTTAATATATGGTGTTTGATTATGATTACTGTATTTCCCAAAGTATACTCAGGATAATCCATATCCATGCAACACTCTGGTTTACATACTGGTCTAGCACTTCTCATGGATCTCCCAAGAGCCTTATGAGACAGGTGGATCTTAGGCAGCTGATAACTTTCAAGAGAAAGGAACACAGGAAAGAGAACTTTGTATGGGAAACATAATGCATATCACAATGCCCTCTGAACAATTTAGTATAAGCACAGGCTGAGGCCTCACAATTATATTACCAGGTCTCATTCTTCCTTGGCTCTAATAAATATGAATAGAATTAAATAAAATGAAAGATATGTCATGTTTATAAAACGGAAGACTGAATTTTTAATGTCTATTCTCCAAAAATAATCATTAGATAAAATTCTATTTCAATAAAAGCCTTAGCAAGCCTTTTTTTTTTTTCTTGGTAGAAAAAATTAACCTATGGTGATAGAAATCAAAACAGTAGTTTCATATGGAAGTGGGTAAAGAATAACTGGAAGCACATTTGAAGAATTACCTGAGAAGTTGGAAATGTTTTTATTAAAATTGGCATTTCTGGTTACATAAGTATATATGCTTGTCAAATTTCTAAGAATTATATATTTAAGACTTTGATTGTGAATTGATCCACTATACAGTTTTTCTTTATGTGCTTAGCACATCCCATTTGATCAGACTTCAATCTGATAAATCACTCCTTTTTAAACACATAGATAACAGTTCACACTATTTATTCACAACCTATAAGTGAAAGGATTAATCTAGTTAGAAATACTGATTTTTAATTTGCTTTTATCTATCAGTTAGATGAGTTCTATCATTTCACAGGGCTCTTTTTTAAAATTTTTAAAGTTTTATTTATTTGAGAGAGAGAGAGAGAGACTGATAGTAAGTAGGGCAGGGGCAGAGAGAAGAAGACACAGAATCCAAAGCAGGCTCCAAATCAACTAACCCGTGAAATCATGACTTGAGGGGGCACCTGGGTGGCTCAGTTGGTTAAGCGTCCAACTTTGACTCAGGTCATGATCTCACAGTTCCTGAGTTTAATCCCTGCATAGGGCTCTGTGCTGACAGCTCAGAGACTGAAGCCTGCTTCAGATTCCATGTCTCCGTCTCTCTCTGCTCCTCCCCTGCTCATACTCTGTCTCTCTCTGTCTCAAAAATAAATAAAACAAATTTTTTAAAAAAAGAAAAAAAGAAAAGAAAAACGGAAATCATTACTTGACCCAAAGTCTGACGCTTAACTAACTGAGCCACCCCTCACAGGGCTCTTTTGATTTCAGTTTTTATTGTAATAGTGGTTTCTTTTGTTATTATTTTTGTTTATCTATTTAGATTTCCTCTTTCATGAATTGCCTCTTCAAGTTTTGTAACCCATTTTACTGTTGGGTTTCCAAAGTACTTTATATATTTATAGTAGGACTTTATTTTTCTATATATAAAATCTTCATTGGTTATATATATTCTAAATATTCTTTTCATTTTGCATCTCTTTCATTTTATAGAAAAAACTTTAGCACCTTATATATCACATTTCTAAAACAGGTATTTACACTTTTGAATTTCTACTCATTTTCTGACTTCTCTTTGAACTTTTCTGTTTATCCTTCAGTTCTTTAGAGGAGGTTTTTCATTACTTATTACTTTTTTTTATTTCCAAAGAAGTGGGAATGAGCAGGGACATGTAAAAAGAGAAAGTGCTGGATGGGAAGGGGGAAGTTACCTTTTTGTTCCTAAATGATTTCTAATTTACTACACTTTTTTCAAAGTTCTAGTTGTAGGATATGATTCTTTAAAATTGAGTGGACTTGGTTTGTGACTTCACATGTGGGTAATTTTTTTATAAATATTCCACGTAACCTTGAAAAGAATGGGTAGAAAATCCTGCTCTTAGAGTGCAGTCTAAAACAGATAAGCTTCCTGTTATTATTTTTATGTTGATAAGTGGACTTTTCTCTAGGCCACCATTTTACTAAAGTAAAATTTTAAAGAAGAATTTCAGGCTTCTCAAATTACTGCCATTCAGTCAACAAATTTAAAAATTTTCAGATGGATAAAAAGAATTGATTTAATAGATGATACTATTAAAAATATTTACCATATAAGAGCATCTAGCCTTAAGAATAATAATACATTATTGCTTTTATTAAATTAATGAACATTATAAGAGCTTTGAAAAATCACAAGTACACAAAATGTATTTCTTCATTATAAGCAGGACTGCACTTAATTTTTGCTCTTTAAAAACTATATGGTCCTTCATTATGCATATTCTGTGTATCATATGTATTAGGGAAAAGTTATTTTCTTAATATCACACATAATTGCTTTTTTCTTTATCTTAATTCACAGGAATGTATCAAAGGGAATTCATTGCTTACCAATTTGCTTTCTGTACTGATCAACAGGAAGTTTCATTGTAGGGGCATCTTTTCTACCCATCTTTGATCTCCAAAATGCCTGCTGCAAAGAAAGAAAATAATTATGATGAAGTCCTAAAAATCAAAAGGACTATCTACAAACTTCGGGAATAATTTATTCTGTAAAACTCACTTTTAAAGCAATGGGTAAAAATGGCTTTGACTTATTCCCTTTAGATATCAGTAAAGAACACAAAAATCTTTCAAATAAATTATCAAGGATACAATTGCTGGTAATTAAATTTCCCAATTATTTGTTCTTGGTAACATTAATTTTTATCAAGTACTATCAATACTCAATTAAACCAAACTGTTAGAGAGTATTATCTGTAAATGTGAAAATCATGTACTGTTCATTCAGATGGCTTACAGTTGTAGGCATGCTATTGGCAGAATGTTTCTTCCCAATTACCTACCATGTTACACAAAAAAGCTAATATTTTAATCTCAGATGCTTTAAATTTTGTTTTAAAAAGCACGACATAGGTAACAAAAGTGCCTAAGTTTGAGTTCTAGTGTGTCTCTCCTTCTGAAAACAGTATAAACTACTACCATTTACTAACATTCTTACGCTTACTACACTATAAGCACTGTTTGACTTAATCCACAACACATCTTTCAAATCTTATTATTTTTATTGGATTTAAATATGTGGTAGATATATGTAGAATTTAAGAAACAAAACAAATGACCAAAGGGTGGGGGGGAACAAGAAAGAGGCAAACCAAGAAACAGACTCTTAAGGATAGAGAACAAGCTGCTGGTTACCAGAGGGTGTGTGAGTGGGAGGATGGGTGGATTAGGTGATGGGGATTAAGGGAGTGAGCTTGTGATGAGCACCGGGTGTTGTAAGAAAGTGCTGAATCACTAAACTGTAGACCTGAAACTAATATTACACTGCTAACTAGATTTAAATGAAAACTTCAAAAAATAGATATGTGGCACAGATTACAACCTACTCACCAAAATCCAAATTCTCCTTCCTCTTCCTGGCACAGAGTTAAACTATATTTCCTAGCCTCAATTCAAATACATAACTGAGTAATTGCAATAGAATATGAATGGAAGTACTATGTGTCACTTCCAGACCTGAACATTAAAAATCTCCTTTGTTGAAAGCTACATTACCTTTCCCCTTCCAATTGGCTAGAATGGAAATTTTCCCCCAACAAACCTTAAGGGTACATAGAAGAACATAGTACCTTGGTCAGCTTGTGGTAGAAAAGGGATACTCTCTCTAACTTGTTTACTATCATAATATTCTAGTGAAAGAGGAATGAAATTCTATTGTGATTGAGAACTTATATACGTTGGTGAAGTGTATTTATTACAAACGTAATTGTTCCCAGAGTGATGGCTGGAAATTGCTCCTCGCTGTTTCTATGGAGGAACTACAAAATATAGATGTAGTCAAGCAAGAACTGGCCTTTTGCTTATTTTTCATAAGCAAAAATATAAAGTGATAGCTTGGCAATTTGGGAACGAGCAAGGTTGAAAAAGCCAACTTCTTCTAGAAGCCAAATAACAAGAAATAAAAGTGAAAAAGGCTTTGAAGAACAAGGGCCCATTAAGACTTCTCAGTTAAAAAAAACAAGACAGAAAGAGATATGAAAAGAGAGCAAGAGAGCCTATTGGGATGTTCCCCTCTCACCTGAACCTATTGTTTCAGATCACGGAGGAAGCCAGTATTGGGTAGAAACAGAGAAGGGCAGTTCTGTAGTATAGAAAATAAGCAGATGTGAGAAGTATGACTAGAAAAGAAATTGCAGTGTCACATGGAACTAGCTAGAAAAGGTAAGAAGGCTATTAAAATCTGAGGGAATTATATTACAAGGAAACCAACTTTGTCTAAAAAAAAAGTATGTGAATGAAAATCAATTCTTGGACTTCTAAACTTAAACCAGCAGATTGCAGCCCCCAAGGAAGACAAACTCTGTAGATTTGTGCCATCCTCTTCATATGTGACCTGGAAGGAGAATCATCCAGAAGGGAGAGCCATAGAATAAATGGACGAGGGAACTTCTCTAAAAAGACCATAATTAGGATCCAAGCAAGAAATTTCTGTCGGTATGATGGACCCTCTCGGTGGCCTCGTGCAACCTTGCACAAAGCAGATTTCATGGTCATGCTGAGTCAATGATTCCTGTTTCCCATTCTTCCTTTCTTCCCTTTCTAAATGGGAATGATCATAGGAGATATGATGCAGTTATTGTATGAAATTAGGAAAATTTCATAGTCAGTAAACTTCAAGGAACCACCTTCCAACCTGAGGGGGAGAACTGTGCACTGGCTTGAGATCCCATACTTTGTGCAGGACGCAGTGAGCAGGGAACTTTAGGATCATCCTACTAAAGAGGCAGGGGAGAGGATGTGCATGGCTATTTCATGACCAGAAAGATGGACTATAGGAAAAATTGCTGGCTGCTTACTAAAATATATGTTCACTTTTGTTTTTGTTTTCCCTGAGCTCACTTGACAATTTTCCAGCCTCCTTTGCTGTTAGCTGTGGGCATGTGACTGAGTTTCAGCCAACAAAAACCAAATAAATTAGTGTTTTCTACTTCTAGAACTAACCTATAAAAACTCTCCATGTGTTCTCATTCATCTGGCTGAAATGGAGATGGCCCCCAGAGTGCTGCTGGAAATAATCTGATGAAGAGCACAGAACCTATGACATTCTGGATCCCAAATGACTGCATGAATGAAAGTTATTCAAGTAAGGTATCTTCTTCTTTCATACTGTTGTGACAACAAGAATAACTTGTAGCATTTGAGCCTCTGTACATTTTATCTTTGTTTATTTACAGTAGGTAGTATCACCCTAACTAAAACAAGTATGTATAGATGTCTTCACATAAATTATTAAACTGTAATTTTCCTAAAGAGCATTATTACAGTTCTCAAATGCCAAATGCTTTTGAAATCTGTTCATATCAAACTGTATTGTTTATTTATATCCATGCTCACACTGAGCAATCAAAACAGTGACCCCACCTAACACGGTAAAAGGCATTCCCAAATTAATAATTACCACTTATGTGTAAAAAAATCATAAATTCAGCTAAAAATCTATTTTTCTACTCATAATCATCTTCAGAGTTAATACTATGGTAATATTTAGGAATGTGCAAAGTAAGACAAAAAGTCAAATAAATTAGATGTTCACATCTCATAAACCATGTAGTTATTACACTTAAGATAACACTACTTTAAAATTTCAGAACCAAAACCAAGATGCCATATAATCCTGTATTCTTACTTGTGATTATTCAGAATATTAATAGAAGCATCATGAAAAATATCAATAGATATATTATAATTTATTCGTATAGCAACCATTTGCATAGTGTTTTGCATTTATTAATTGTAAAGAGAAGTCAAGTTTTTTTTTAATCTTGATTATGTGAGGCTAGAAAAAATATCACTCCATTTTAGGAGAGAAGTTAGTTTAAATAAATACATACACAAGACATTATTACCCCTTCAATTTAGTTTTGTTTGTTGCCTTAATGGAATAGCTTAAATTTTCAAAAGCAAATTTCTAAGGCTAGCTGCCCACATGGTCACTCAGTATGCTTCCCTCAATTCCTTCCCGGTCATTTAAACCAATATCCTAACAGAAATAACACTCTAGAGGCCAGTATTTTATTCATTCCTTACCTGTAGTAAATAAAAAAGTAAGAGACCCATAGAGAATATCTATCCACCATTTTACTTATTTTAAAATGCACTTTAAATAAACAAAGTGATACCAAAAAAGTAAAAAGAAAAAAAAAAAAGCTAAAGACCCTATATTTTTAGAAAGGCTTATACTCTGTGAATAGATACATTTTATATTTACATAACCTGTGACTATAAAAACTTTAAAAGAATTTCAACCTAAAAGATACAATATAGATGAGCTAAATTTTTGTTCCCAATTATTTTAGTAACTGATAATCCTTAACCAAAATTTCAAAGATTAAAACTTTATTCTCTGAAATTATTCTATTCTTTATGTATTCTATTCTACTTTTTAAGCAAAATGAAATTTTACCAAGTGTTGAAACAAACGAACAAAAAATGCCTAGGGAACACACACACACAAATGCCTTACATTGTATTAGCTGCAACAAACACAAAAAGGTAGAAAATATTTTACTTTTCTAATAAACACATTGAGACTATTCTAAACGATCTAAAGAGATACCCATTCATGTGTATGGCACAAACTGTCAATGCCTCAGACATCTAGAACCTCTAAAACATTGTGACTTTTCTTTGTTCTTCAAAGCCTTGCAGTAATCATCATTCATTTCTATTGCTTTGATGGTTAGATAGCAAACTCCCAAGAAATCCAGGGAGACATGAGCACATAGAGCTGCAATTTCTAATAAGACAGCTATTTGCATACAAGATCAGCCACAATTTAAAATGTGTTGTGATAGATGCGGAAAGGGAATAACAGATTTATATTAGCATGTACAATACCGAGATTGTTTTCACAATTTAATTCCTTGGAGATTACATCTCATCACCTTCTTTTATAAAGAACACAACATTCCCTGAGGAACTAACTTGCTCTGAGACCCAGCTAAACTAAAATATGGATTAATAAGATAATATTTATTATTTATGAATTTTGCTGTAGGAATGGTTTCAGATTAAATCGTCAGAGAAGTTTTTAACATTCTTGAAACTTGATAACACATACTTAAGGAAGAAAATGCTAATTTTATTTAATACCAAAATTGCATATTAAAATATTTCATAATTAATTTTTATTTAATTAAAACTTTACACTCGTCAAGACTTCTCAGATTAAAGAGAGTGTTTTTGTTTTTTATATCGTTTCTTAACCTGGATTTTACACAGAAATTTGGCATAGGCATATGTATTTTTAAGTACAATATGTGACCTTTAAAAACAAAGGTAGTGCAATATTCTATCACATTCTGACCAAGTTATTTTATTGCTCATTTATACCTTTCTTATGAAATCCAAAAAGAACAAGTAAGGAACCTGAAACCTTCACATATGTCTCTGCTTCCAGAAAAAGC